ACGTAAAAGTCGAAACAACAGAGACTAAAAGTCAATTCACCAGTCCAGCCAACTATGGCTCCCTAAGTTGCTTATATTTAATCAGATACTATTTCGTCGTCATGCTTTGTTACCTTACCTGTTTATACTCATGAGGGCGTTTTTTTATGGCAAGATGGCGCAAACGGAAGTCCTTCGCAGGTTTATGGTTTCTCATATTTAAATCATCATAACTCTGAAGATAATCATTTTTTTTTTATTTTTTTTTTCAAATTTATAATCACTATACATAACTTGATAAATACAAACACCAAAATAGGCTCTATTTAGTTCCCCTTTAATTAACGCACTGAATTGCATTGATCTCTGCTATGCAAACTGTTCAGTCTTCCTGTGATAGCCTCATAATATACATGTAACACAAGATTATGTTTGAAAGAAATATTTTCATTTAATAGGTTTGAAATTATATTATATGACCAAAAAAATTTTTATAATAATTTTACTGGGCCCCATGCCATCAACTGTCATGGTTGGAATTACAAACACAGTTTATAAAATAATTACAAACATCAAGTGTGCTTGATTTTTGCTTTAATTTACTCAATTAAACAATGTCAGACCTGCATTTTTAACAGACACAGATGATCAGAACATGGATATTTTATCTGGGCCCAAGTCTACCAAATCTTTATAGCGTGATTAGCCTAGGTATACATACTGTAACCCAGTATTCAAGTGACAGTATTACATGTATTCATATCTCTGCTAAAGTATTTTTCCATCATGGTGGTGTTTTGCCGGATAACCACAATAATATTGTCATGTTAGCACTCAAATTCTGGTTTAAAAAAAATGCTGTGTTCAGTGATGATCACCAAATTATGTCATGAGCATTACAATTGATTCACTGAAATAATCACAGAGAATTCAAAACAATTTGTGAAACTTAGTGATGTTTCAAATATCGCTGAATATCTCTGCCATCAGTCATTTGTAAATATTGTTCTTATCTCGGCTTCGCTATACAAATCCTCATTCATTACAACAACAAAAGATCGACAAGCAGGATAATGACAACATACTAGTGAACAGCACAGCTGATAGGGACATGTGCAAATTATCGGTAGTAACATGTATTTCTTACAGCATTTTCTTAATAAAACACTATTAGAATTTCTTAATTTAAAAAATATTATAACAATATTTTTGTTATGCTTTTCAGTTCATGATGTAAAACCAGACTGTTTTGAAGATTATAAAGCAGCTGCGTAAGTATTTTCGTATTAAAAAAATGAAAAAACAAATATTATTACTAGTTAGTGTTTTAATTATTACTGCATACTAAATATATATGGATATTTCCATGTCATGTCAAAATCTACCTTCAGTGTCTCATGGATGAATTTCAATATTATTGTCTTTCTTTTTGGAATCTGATTGCTTGACCTGTTAATATTAAAATAATACATTAATATTAAAATAAATCTTGGTGAATGCCAAATGAGAATACTGGTTTTCAGAGAAAAGCAGGAATGTGACTTACTGTTTAATATGCAATAATGATTGTTTTTTTTCAGAGAGCAACATTTAAAAAACAGACACGAAGATGGCAATATCCCCAGTAAATTATTTGGTAGTTGGATCACAACATTTGGACATCAGGACCAAGCAGGTTAGAATTCTGATTTTATTCATTTCATTTTCAAGTTCCCCAGTGCCATGTCAGTGATAAGTAACCCTTATATTTTGGGCAATGAACCGGGGAAAGTATTCAATCAAGTGCAGACACCATTTCTTGGTATTGGACACCACCATGGATACTTATTACACGAGTGTACCATTATTCAACCATCCATTACACTAATGCTTTATTTGGTAAATAACACATTGAGTTTATTACCACATCCATCATGTGGTTTATGTTCAAAACTCTTGTTGAAGAATAAATATAGAATTTCTTTTTATTCTGTTCAAACCTTACAGTTCATATATGGTTGTATGAAAATGGATACAAAGATATTATGCAGACCAGAGCAATGTTACTAGAAGACCCTGTAAGTTGCCCTCACCATTGTTGTCAACTTGTTGACACTTTTTTTTTGACCTTATGGATAATTCATGTTGTAAAAGGTAAAATTAAAAATATCAGGATTACTTCAAAGTTCAAGATTGTTTCAATTGAACTTTCATTTTCCCAGTACACAATTTTATCAAAAATAAAATCACATTTGTTCGTTATGAAAAATTGCTTATCACTACATTACATACAAAGTAGTAAAAGAAACAGGAAATCTGAAAAGTTCCTAGTTTGGTGGATGTATGGATGGATGGATGAATGAATGAATGAATGAATGAATGAATGAATGAATGAATGAATGAATGGATGGATGGATGGATGGATGGATCACATACCATGGACTTAACAGTTTTGAGCTAAAACATAGTGAAGAGCTAGGAGTCTGTTAATAATTACACTAACAGTGAATTTTCTGTGCCATTTAAATCATGGCATTTACAGCAATAATGTGTGTCGTGAATATTTTATTTTAAATACCAATAAAAGGGGATAATACAATGTCTGATTATTTCTTTCCCATTTCTTGGCAGGAATATGTCAAATACAAGAAAGAGAGATTGAAAATGCTGGTGTCACGGAGAAATCAATTACTTCAAGCATTTAGTTTTTGGGGTGAACCTGATCCAAGGGAGCCTGGGAATATTTATGAAATGCGCAGTTACCATCTGAAGGTAGGCTTGTCTGTTTGTTAGTTCAGAAAACTGGGATTTGTGTTTTGACCTGTAATCTCATGCCTGGGTCGATTACATTCAAAATTCATACATGCATCCTGGAATACATATACATGTATGCACGGTTTCATGGTTTCTATTGGTTTCAAGACTGAATCAATATCTTCGTTATTGTCTTGGTTGTGTATAGACAGATTTTGTTCAAACTTGGTACAACATTAGAAATTAGGGGACTTTGATACATGTCGTTTAGTTTTTCAGATTGGATTCAAAATGACTGCCTGCCAGCTATTATACTTTCAATATATTTAATTCCAGAGCTATATCTCCAGCATGCCTGATCAAGTAAAAACTTATATATACATCATAAATCATATTACAAATAAATTCATTTCGTGATCTGATTCCAGATGGCCAAATTGCAAATTGTTTTAATGTTAAAAATTTGTCAAAATCATGCAGATCTGGATCTCACTGGAATTGTTCAAATTTAATGTTTTATTTTATTTTATTTTTTATTATTTTCAAATTTAATGTTAATGGACCTTGATGCATTTCACTTTGTCAGATTTGACTCAAAATGGTTGACTGGTGGCCATTTTGTATTAGTGAATGCAGTGCTAGAGCCATATCTCCGACACGCTCTGAATGTTCAAACCTTACATATTTATTAATGTAATTACGTATTTGTAAACAATGTAGCAGATTCAGATGTTAGATTCTGATTGTGAACAGCTAAAATTACACACATGAAATTGAATATCAAAATCAAATCAGCTATGATTTCTAATTTGTTAAACTTGTATCATAATTTGGATGTTTTTTTCTCCCCAAAGAAACATGTTTAAAATCTGATATCATGGGTCATTCATTAGATGTCCTCAATGACATCAATCTAACTTTTGAAGATTCAGTGTCATGTCAATATAAATAATTGTATTATTAAAATTTTGTTTTTCTATTTTCAGCCTGGTACAATGATTGAATGGGGCAACAATTGGTGAGTATTTTCTATTTATTTATGCGATAGACATGAAAAGTACTTACTAGTACCGGTAGGTTACTAAAGAGTTATACTGAAGATTACATTGCGTTTATATTCATATTTTTTTTGAGTATGGTAGCATAAAGACAAATATCAATATTGTTTTTAGTATTGCCACACATAATCGCCAGTATTAGCCAAAAAATCCCTTTTTATCATATTTGCAACTGTATCAAAACAAAAGAGAGTAAGTTTGAGAAGTGGCAGCCAAAACTTGTGAGAGTGGTGAAGAGCACAGTGCATGTACTTCAGAGCACGTACCGGTACTCTTTATTGTTCTGGAATATACAAATATGCAAGGAAAGGATCACTGTCAAACGTCAGACTTTTTGCTTTGTCAAATTATTTTTTCTTGTGAAGTAAAGTGAATTTGAATCTGTAATTTTGAATTTTCAAACAATTCTGAATGTGCACATAACTAGAATATCCGCATTTAGAGATGAAATTGATCAAGAATGTTGTTATAGAATGTTTTAATGCATTGGTTATTTGGCAAAAACAAGTAAAACATCAGTTTCATTGTTAATATTGACAATAATCACGGATATTACTGAAAAATGATCCACACAGGCAAGGTTGTGAAAAAGTGACATTATCTCTAGATTCAGAGTAGGGATATGTGTGCCATTGTTATAAAATAAAAAAACACAAGGATCAAGAAATAAAATAGGGACAAAATATAATGCATGGTGTGGATCAAATGCAGCAGAATATTACTGTTACTAAGACAATAGCACATCATGGATATTACAGTTGTGCATATGATAAAGAGTGTTATCATTCCAAACTACATTGAATTGTGACGCATCAGTCAATCATAGTGCCAAGTTTTAGGGCATTTATGGAAGAATCTGAAGAATGCTCATCAACATAATATGTGTACAATAGAGTAAAATGTGCATTTACCACCAAGTGAGTCCCTTTCAGATTTTTCTGTGTATGAATTGTGACGGCATAGTTTTTACATTTCTATTTTTTTTCTTCTGAAGGAGACGAGGTATAGAATGTCGTCGGGCTAAAAATGAGAATATTGCTGGCCTCTTTACTCAGATCGGTGACTTGTATTTGGTACATCACATATTTGGTAAGTTTCTATGATTGATGTTAGTTACATATCTGACTTGGTCATTACCTTTTTTGACTTTTACCCAGAATTTTTGTGCTAAACTTTTTTGAGAAATCAAAGGAATCTGATTAGCCGAAAACACCATTAGGTGGAATTTGGATGCACTGAGACGATGAATCAGTGTCTGATCGGTCGACCAGTGTCTGGCTGCTCCCAAATAGTGGCCATTCAGATGAAATAAATGACAAGTTGTTTGTTTGTTACTTGACAATCCTGGGTCGATTTTACCATAACTTACTTTGCTTCACCATCGAACCCATTATGGGTGATCAGTGATCATTTTTTCCATTTAGGTACTATTAAGGTTACAAGCAAAGCCTGTAGCCCTTTTGTTTGATTTAGTTATTTAAATCAAACACTCATAAAAATTGTCAGCTTATAGGCCTTGATAGGTGTGCTGTGAAAAACCTTGAACAGTTCCCTCCACTTCCATGTCGGCCATCTTGAAATGAAGTTAAAACGAAATTGGCCATTTTGAACAGTTTCTGAGGTTCTAGAAATTCTGATTTTTTTTATGCAATATTATAAAGTGTGAAAATCTTCTTCTTCAAAACTACATTGATGAATTTGAATTCTGACATCTATGTATAAATGAACATTAAAATTTGAGATGCTGATCTGAATGTATTGATAAACGAAATGCAATTACCGTACTCGACCGCGTTAGCGCCCATGCCCGGGCAAGCGCCCACCCCCCACTTTTGCGCAATTTTTATATTTGGGGTCACATTCGGCAAATCGCCCACCCATTCAAAATGCAACTAATTTAAAACTTGGTCTTGCGTAACGAATCTTGGTAATCGTTTTTATATGATACAGCGTGGATATCGACCGTTGTGAACATGTTGTGAATGCGTAGAACACGGCAACCGTGCGTAAACTACGCTTCGACAATGACCTGTTAATAAAAGTAAAATGCGGTAAATATTTCATCCC